AGGCAAAGCCACAGAATCCAACCCTCATTAACACCGCCACGCTTGGCACATGTGAATGCGTTAGATCCTAATTGGATGGGATTGCTCCAGCTGAACCTGTGGAATGTCAGCCTGAGGAGAGAGAGAGAGCCAAGAATCACCTGAGGCTGAAGAAACACAGGCACCACCTGAGCAGCGGGAGCAGGCAGATGATGATGAGGATGACGTAAGGCCTCCAAGCCCTTGCAAACCAGTGAGTAGAGCGGAGGGCTGAGCAAGGACATTCATTGAGACTCCTGGCTAAGCAAATGAGTAAATCTCCTCATTCAAGGCAGCTGGCTACAGCCCAACTGAAGAGGCAGCTCTGACCCAGGTCCCCTTGTTGAAAATAACAGTCTGATTTCCTGCTCTGGTATGTTGTTCCTGTGAATCCTGCTCGTGAAACTCTGACCTTGGACCGGCTGACAAACCTGATTTGGCTCTCTGAACTTTGGGCTGGATTTTGACTACTTTCTGACAGCTCCTGTTGAAAGCAAAAGCACCCGGGCAAACCTACTTTCCGAGAGACTTTCTTGATTTACATTTCTTCCCTTGTCTGCTGTTATCTGCTCAGCTTTGAGTAAATTGCTTTCCTGAAAATGGGGCTGAGTGTATCTGGACTGCAAGATTCCCGATAGCTGCCAGATGACGCAAAGCCCCCTCTTTTGCTGTCCTCTTGTGGCGGCTCTCAGTGTTAGTGCTCATGAATGCACACATTGCCCAATTAAGGCCACACTAGCCATCACAAGGCCAGGGACCTATGATTCAGACCACAGAAGTTCTTTATCCCTAAACAGTAATTTTCTTTCTCCTCACCAGGTGGCAGCAAATAGAAAACGGCAGTGAAAGACTTGTTTCTGAATTTAAAAATATATTGAAAAAGGGTTTTGATATTAGAAAAATTTATGCTTTCACCCCGCATATAGATATTCATTGCTTCCCGTTATCAGAAATTGAAGATGCTCTTGGGGGGTTTTCCTACCGCTGCATGAATTTCAATGTAGCATATTCTGCATACGATCAAAATACATGGGATAGGATGGCAGAATTGGGAACATACACTTTCTTCATCTTGGTTTGAAACAGGCTTCCTGTTAGGATCTGACCCAAGCAAATGATTACAGAGAGCTTTGTTGGTTATACAGCAGAAGAAAGGAAGGGCCAAGAATGCATCCAGAGAACGAGTGCGGTCTTTCCTCTCTGCCCTCCACCCCGCCGCCAGCTTTGGCTTTCATTTTTCGTCATCAAAACCACTTTGTGCCAGACAGTTGAGAAAATAATTTCCAAAGAGCTTTGCTCACAAAAGGTTTATTGAAGAACTTTTCTCTTCTCTTCTCCACCCCAAGGTATCTATATATGAATTAATTTGGCACCTCTTTGACTTTTCAGAGGGAAGGGAAAATACCATGTAATTAACGTTCTTTGCTTCCTTCCCCCTCCCACCCTTCCAACAAATCACAAGTGACACACTTAAAAAAAAAAAAAAAAATTAATGAATACATTCAAGTATCCGGGCCAAGATTTTTTCTTGTCTTGGTCCGCTGCAGCCTGGCCTTCTCTCACCTGCAGGCAGGTCAAGCGGGTCTGGCCACTCAGATGGTGGCCAGCCTTCCCCTCTGAAGCAGAGGACTGGACTGGGGCTTTGGGCCCATGGCACAGAGCGCCCTGCCGCTACATGAAGTGAAGGTGGTGCCAAGCATGGGGCCCTCTGCACCAGCAGCTGGGTACCCTGGCAAGCCTTCCCCACTGCACGTGGACTCTGACGAGAAAGGCTTTCTGGCTGTTGCTATGACCAGAAGGGGCATTTGGGACCCCTTTAACCTTCTCAGTGTCAAGACAGCTTCTCCGCTGCCCGATGTTTGTAGGATGCGATCAAAGATGACTCTGCTAAGAAGTCGTTTGATCTGGGATATTTTCACCAGCCAGACACAGCCCCCCCCTCAGTCATTCAGTTAATCCAGCGGGGCCGGCCAACCTGGCTGGTCCTTCGCTGGGAGTGTTCACTGGGTGGAATAGAGAAAGAGAAGCAGAGCCAGCACTTCACCATAGTTGTCAGGGTTTCTGAGCCACTGCAGTTGCATTCCCATGACAACAGGTGATGGGTGTCTCCCTCCTTCTCCATCAAGCGCCCAGACATGCAGCCTTTGCTCAAGAAACCGATTGCAGGCGAGGTCCTCTGCAGGGCTTCCTACTGTGGGGGGCTCCATCAAGGGCTGCGTTGGGTCAAAAGGCTTCCCTGAAGCACAGTGGGCTGAATCCACCAACTTGCACACAGCGCATATTCTCATGGCATGGGTTGGGTTCCCACGAAGGCCTTTGGGCCTCGTGCATTGTGCAAACAGCCTGTGGGAAGGCTGGCTCCTGCCTCTAAGGGGGCTTCCTTGATCTGGCCCAGATCTAGGACCGTGTGGTGAACAGGGACCCCCTTCTCAACAGGGGCCTTTTCTGCAGTCCTGGCCTGCAGTTCACAACAGAGATACTTCTGGGAAGCAGTGAGAAGACCAGACTAGAAAGAGGACTGAAACATGCTGGAGACCGTTGCGTTTTTTTGAGAGGTTTTCCAATCCTTCTGAGATATTAAAAAGGCAGAAATCAGGTTGGGTAGCACTTTTTCCGACCAACAAATTTTGTGAAAAGGCAGATGTTTTTATGAGCTGCAGGATGCTACCCAACTCCTCCTGATTTTTTTGCCACCATAGACTAACACAACTCTCTCCTTAAAAAGGAGTCTTGAAAGTACCATACAAGCAGGGAAGCCAGAAAAAAAAAATCCTAATCAATTTCCCAGGGGAATGGCAACAATCTTTATCTAACACCACAAACCTTGATTAAACTGAGGAATGTAAACTCCAAATCAACAGTCCAAGATAGCAAGAGAAAATTCCTTCCTGCCTTCAGGGAAACAAGATTAAAAGAGGGCTAGAACTTGGCTAAAAAGATCAGAGACTGCAGGAACACACCTGTTATTTTAACTTAAAATCCCTTTAATTGGTTACTAAGAGAGAGGGCTCACTGCAAGTATCTTGCTTTTGTGATTTATACAGCAACTGCTATAGTTGTGGGCTAGGCTCCCCTGGCTAACAGAAGCCTTCCGTCTTGGCTCTGGATGTTTGCTAACCTTTCTCTCCTCCCCGGGACCTTTCCAACCAGCATCAGATTGCACCTGAGAAAAAAGTGACCCAAGGAGCATATTTCTACAACATGCAATTTGCACACACATTCACTGATTGCCATCCTCAATTCAGATTCCAAAATCAGCTGTCAATTTGGCACAGGACGTAGGCTTAAAGAGGCAGAGGCACAGATCAGCCTGAGTTGGGGTCAGCCCCTCCGGCAGTCCATTGTTCTGCTGCTTCTAGGGCTTGGGCCTGACCCAGACCCCTTGCTTTTTCCTGCAGGTGGGTCCCTGCATCTTGCTCAGAGGTTTTCAGCTTAAGGCCTTCACACCATTGGCCTCCTTCTCACTTCTTGAGCCTGGTTTTCATAGCTGATGCTCAAATAGAGAAGATGCTTCACCTTTACCAACCTTGCCCAATTGGTACAGAGGCAGCTTGGAGCGGAGGGAGTGCCCACCCCTTCTGCTCCCAACTGTCGTGACTGCTATTTTTCTCCAGGGTGAGAAAGTGCAGAAAGGAGCCAGCGCCCCCAGGAACATTAAGCGCCATGGCCCAGATCTTCTGCTGGGGGCATCCAGAGGTCCATCCCTTCACTGGCCTCTCACTCCAGCTTCTTAACTGAAGCTGGGTCTTTGCTGCTGATCTGGAGGTTGGTCCTCTGCTTGATCTTCCTCAGCTGAAGCCAGGTCCACTCTCTGCTCATCCATGCGTTTGGCTTGGACGCGCTGGATGAGGCTGAAGAAGTCCTCATCGGGCACGGTGGGGCCACGGGGAATGGAATTGGGTGGGGCACAGCGCTGGTCGTCAAGGCGAGAGGACTGCAGAGGAGCAAAGGAAAAGGCCACATGTGTGACTAACGGAGGTCAACAAAACCAAGAGACAGAGGTCTTCTGGTAGGTTGCTACAGAAGATGCCACCAGGCAGGTCTTCCTTACCAGCCAACTTTGCAGGCTGTCAGGAGACTTCAGTGGGAGACAGCAAGAAACCTTCACACTGCCCTGAGCATCTTGGGAGAAACAGCATGAGATAGCAGGACAGGTGTAACCTAATTTAGAGAACAACCAGTTTTTGATCTGGTAAAGCTGAACAGTGAGAGGTGGGCAGTGGGACCGATACACTCAGAGATAATTCCCCACAATGGGAAAAGGATGTCCCCTGTTGCTTGGCTCTCCAAGCGGAGGATGTGGTGTCCAGCCTGCACTTAGCCCCTGGTGCTTCTGGACTGGCATCACTGGCCATTACGTTCCACCAAAGGCTGAGCAGAGAGGTGCCCAATGCTAGGAAAAATTTAGCCCCACATCTCATGAACCGGAACAGACTGAACAGCTATATAACTCCTTGGATAATTCCTCTCTCTCCAAGATTAATTCAATTAATTAATTTTAAGATGTTTTGGGAGGACAACACTAACAATGTCTAAGCAACTGTTGATCAGGAGTGGAGTCTTGATGATCATGACGGGTGAGATGATGGAAAACAAAATGAGTCTCTTTCTCCATCATGAATGTGTTCAGTTCATCTCAGATTGAGGCATCTGGCTGCTTGGTCCAAGCATTTATTAGTGAATTAAGCATTGAATGTACTACAATGACTTCGGAACTGGCCCAAGCATGAACAAAGCACAGGAGGAATGGTATGCAATTCCTACAGATAGACCTGAAACCAATAAAATCCATTCTCCACCGGTCCTGCAGACTGGTTTCTCCCATTATGCTAAGCCATGGCTTGTCTGAACTATGGCTTGTTGAACTAGTCATAATGGTGGGCTTGTTCACTTTATTACTGCATTTATATCCTGCTTTGTCTCTCCCTTAATTTCATCTCCATCACAAGAAGCCTGTGAGGTAGTTCTGGCTGCAAGAAAGCAGGTGGCTCCAAATCCCCCAATGAATTCTGCGGCTAAATGATGGCTTGAACTCAGATTCTTCCACCAAGGCCACAACTTTAACCTTTAAAGGGTTCTACGCTCACCCAGGGCACATAAAGGCACAGCACAATGTGTGAAGCCCATTCCCTTTGTGAGGTTTGGCAGAGGTTGAATCCCACCCTCCCACTCTCCACTCATAAGAATTTCACAGCAGGAGTAGGAAGGGTGAAAACCCCCCAGTGAGAACCAACCAACCTGGCACTTCATGAGCATGTTGAAGAATTCGTCGCCGGGCTCCTGGGCCTCGCCGTCCATGCGAAGGTGGCCCAGGTTGCTGGGTGTGATACGGAGGCCGGGCAGATTCCCCACGCTGGCCCGCTGGTCATCAAGCCGCCGGCTCTGGGAGCTGGCAATGAGGTCGAAGAGTTCCTCGGTCTGCGGGGAGGCCATGGACTGAGCTGGGAGAGGAACCAGCCGAGGGGTGAGCGAGCCAGCCAGCCTTGGAGGCACTCTGAGCTACCCCTGGGGCATATCAGCTCAGCTCTAAACCCTCCTGGGGTCCCTCCCATCCCCAGTGGCCTCTGCAGAACCATCGTTATCTCTCTCTTCTTTAAACAGAACCTCTCCTGAAATCACCACTGTTTAATTTTGGGATGCACACAGGGAAAGACATCCTTGTAGCATGACACAAAATCACCCTTCAGATCTTGAAAAAGATGCCCAACCCTGGGAAGAGGAGGAGTTTACCTTAGATCTTCACCACCCTCGTTAACCTCAAGAATGAGGTGGATTTTGCAGGCAAAGACGTGCACATCCTCCGTTTCGTGCAGAGGTATCAAATGTGTGCGATCCAAAGCATTGGAAAGTGAGCTTTTCCAGTCACTTTTGCTTGGGATCAAATCACCCTCCCTTCATTATCCCCAAGAGTGCTTGAGGTTCTCCTCCCCTGACTTCGCTGGGAACCGCTGCAATGTTCCAGAGCGAAATCCCTATGGGAAAACCCTGCTTTGGAAATATTATGGCTTTGCTTGGCCCACACACCCAACCAATGATTTGTCAGGGGATGGCTTCACAGACCATCTAACTACCATCAGCCTACAAAGCTGGTCTCCTTCCCTCTCACCGCCTGTCCTTTGCAAAGCGTGGGGACTTCAGCCTTGCAAAATAAGATCTTTAACCAGCTATGCTGAGTGCCTGGGAAGTTTGAGCCAAGCTCCCCAAAAATTCTTCATTGACTTTTGCCCTGGTTCTTTTTTTCCTGTTGGTTGAACTGCCCAGTCATAATCTGTGAATTGGACAGGCACATAAATCCATTAATTCATTGAATAACAGAAGAAATGCAGCCTGAAAACACCCAGTGATGCTCCTGTGTCCTATGAGCAAGGACAATCACTGCAACCCCCCCCCCCACACACGCACACACTACTGGTCCTCATGCTATTTGTAGGTGCAAATGGGTCCTTGCTAGGCCACTTGCACCCCCTGCTCCCCTTCCCATAACACTGCCCCACAGCTTGTCTCCAGACCTATTTTACAGCCCCCCTTTCCTGTTCAACTCTCCTGCAACTCAGGCTCCTGGAAAACTAGCCAAGTTTAGTCAGTTTCTATTTTTGATGCAACGGAAGAGGGAAATGTTTCAACGTATGATGGAGAGTAATTTTACTCCCTGTAAGTGATTGACCGAAAGAAATCAAACTTAGGTCTGGGGCCCTGGACATGGCCCTGAAAGACTGTAAAGGAATTTCAAGCTTATCTGGGAGAAGGAAGCCATTAAGGGGGAAACAGAGAAGGGATTATGCAGTCCAGAGGTTGAAGGAAGCGTGAGGAAGAATATCAAACAAACTCCACCTTGATTCTCTTTAGTATAAGAAGGGTCAGAGAGAACCTGGACAGGTTTTCAAGAGTCTGTTGGGTCTGCAACAATAAATACAACATTCTTGGAATCCCTGTTGTGTCTGTTCCTCGATCTGGCCTACCTCATAGGGCTGTCAAAGGCCGAGCAGGGCCCTTGCCTGGGACAAAGCTGGGCCCTTCCGCTTGCTCCCAAGGGGACTGCACACCGTTTCCATTTCTGCTGACTCTTTCAAGGACAGGGAGGCTGCCTGGCCGTGCCATTCGACTGCCCCGTCCCCTGGCAAGTTGCTTTGCAGCTGTGCAACAGCCCTGCGCCAGCCCAGGACATGCAGCAAGGCTCAGGGAGGCTGGTGGCCCACTTACTCTGTGCTTCCTCCAGGGCAGGGACAGGAGTAGCAGCCGCTTCGTCCGACTCTCTCTGGGAGTCCTCCAAAGGACAGCGCTGGTCATCCATCCGGTTGCTCTGGAATTTGCTCAGAAGGTCGAAGAAGCAGTCCTCCTTGGAAGGGGCTTGCCTGATTTTCTGCAATGATGAGGATGATGAAAGAAAGGAGGTGGTTTTCCATTTTTGAACATCACACTTAAGGGATAAAACTGGAACTGGGTTTGATTTCCCCCCCTCCCCCAGCTCTGCTCTTTTCAGAAAGAGACCTTACAAGACTCTTAATTGCTAGCTTTTCCTTGTTGAAGGAGCTGCTGCAAAGCCCATTTGCCTAATTCCTTAAAAGGATCTTTTGCAATAAAAGCCTGGGGCCACCGTTTTTGCAAAGAGACACAGCCAAGGGAGCATTCAGTTTGAACGTGAAGGGCGCTTTGCTGGCTGGGCCTTGCCGGGAGACCCATCCCCTCTGACCTGAAAACCATGGGGTGAGCAGGGCGGGGTCCAAGCTGGCTCCCCTAAGGGATGCTTTGCAAAGATCTAGGAGGGGGGAGGAAGTGTTTGCTCAAGTAGAGCAGTTATGAAATTCCTCCCTGTGCTGTGTCAAAGTGACAATTAAAGAGGGGACTAATTACTAATTAATTAAGAACTTGGGGGTGAGCAGGGGGGGAAATGGGAATAATGCAGAAGAAATGTTTGGCACAGCTCTAACTTTCATTATAAGGTACAAGGAAATTATGGCCAATGACTTCATCAATGACTGTTTGCCCCTTTAAATCTTCTCACACCATCTCCTAACCTTTTTTTTTTAATCGGTAGGAAGCCGGTACCCTGCCCTTTGTTGCCAGGACCGATGGAGTTAATGGCAGGGTTTGGTAAAGAAGAGAAAATAATTCTTTTCTTCTTTAGCAAAGCTGACAAAGACACACACACACACGCACACACAGTTGCTTCTATTTAGGGCAATATCAAAATTAGACATCCCAGCGGCATGGTCCTCAGCAGCCTGTAAGCTGATCAGGAGTGGAATTATGGACAAAACAGAATTCCTTCCTTCTGAGGAGTTCAGGGGCCCTTTGCTTATTGATGCAGAACTTCCAAATCCATAAAAGCTTCCCCAAGAAGGAAAAAGCTTTGGGGTGAATGAATGAATAAGGGTCCAAATCTGTTATCATCCAAGAAGAGCATCTGGCTACCTCTAAACTCCTCCTTTTGAATTCTTCCTGTATGGTAAACATACGTATTGATTTATACTAAGGAAAAGTGTAAAGCGTTTGGAAAATTTGAGGTCCAAAGAGTTTGCTGCACCCTTCCTTGGAGATCCAAGTTATCTTCCCTAGCCCAGATAAAATACAATTCCCATTATCCTCAGCCACACCCGAAGGTGGGAAATGCTGGGTTAAATGAACACTTTGCGATATATAAAACGGAAGTGCTAAGCTACACTCTCTGCAGAGAGGAGAGAAGACGAACTAAGGATGAGATCTGACATACTTCAGTGCTCCCCCACGTAAAAAGCACCTTGCATGAAGAAAGCTAGCAAAACAAGGAAGAAGGTTTAATAAACCCACCTCCCTTGGATGTCCTTATGGTCTGTCCAACTTTTTCCAAGTTGAAGGCGTCACTGGACATTTGAAGACCATTGGGGTGATGGTTCATCATAGGGTGGGTGGCACAAAACCAAACGCTGATTTCATTTGATTTCATATTTCAGTTCAATTAAAACTGAAGTACCCTTTATATAATTCCTCCTCGGTCACTTATTTCATAATTTACCTCTTTGACCATATTTGAAATTACAGGTTAGGAGGACCTTCTGGAGGTCTCCAGACTGCGTGGCCTGGAACCCCACACTGTGCGTCTGAAATAGGGAGCATTTTTTAAAGGCAGAGTAATTTTTAAAGTCCGATCACCACCGTTTCCCCAATGCTCTTTGCATTTTCCATGAGTGGGAGATCACCAAAGCTGGTGGGAAACACAGCTCTCTCTTAGCGAAAGACGAAAGAGCTCCACTTTGGCAGCTCAGCGTCATTTATTAAGCTGACGATGCCTCAAACATCACCTGAATGTTATGTCACTTCTCTCATAAGGGAAAACTGTTGGCGGTTTTGCAATCTCCCTGTTTTGTATGAAAACAACGAAAAGGTCACTGAGGAAAAAGGCTGTTTGTGATGAAGACGTCCCATATTTGCAGAAGACATTTCCCCAAATATCATTTGTCACTTCTATCATTAATTGAACAAATGCCTTCTATGTGACAGTGATGCAAATAGGGCATTTATTTGTTAGATTTATAACAAAGCATGAGATGCCAAACCCCTCCAGGGAAGAGGATGCCAAACCCACATCAGATGAATAATTGCAATTCTGCACAGCCGGGCATAATACCATCCAGCCATAAAATCCATGATGCAAACCAAAAGTTTGCATCTTTAAGATAAAATGAAATCTCTGTTGAATCCAACCTGAATTCCTGGTTTGCATACAAGATGGGTACATCTGTGTAGCCTTCTGGGCAAAGGGGATGTTTTTCAACTTCTTCCCAGACTAGCTTACAGACCTGAGGTTTTTTTTAAAAAATGTTATTTGTTATTTATTTCCTAGTGGTCTCCCATCCACCCTGCTTAATTTGCTCAAGAACAGCCAAGACTGCCTGGGTGCTGTGACCTACTATGACCTTCAAATAAGCCCTCCCTTCCATTGAGCTGGGTTAAGTGGGCTTTGGGTTACATGGCTAATTTGATTCATAATTGCCCCTATACAGGCTGGGGTGAAAACAGATCCCCAGAACTGAGATGTTGACGGGGCTGTTTGGGGACCAGGACTGCACAAAGCTGTGTCCTTTTTTACACGTGTTGCTCGTACAAAAGGAATGAGGCTTTTTCACAGCCACAGCTACCATCCTGACTTTTTTGACCTCTGTCCTAGAACTGATTTGTGATCTCCAAAGAATAGGATTCATTAACTCCCACAGAAAGAGGCAAACAGCGAGGGCAGAAAATCCTTCTGGTCTGCAATGTTTGTTTTCATTTGATTTCTGCTCTAAGACCGTAATAAAGTATTTGTTATTGTCGATCTGCTCAACTGTGTTTTGTGACTGAGGCATGAGATCATCTAATCGGATCCAGGGGACTAAGCCCCTCTGACTCTGCCCAATTTTATCCCACGGAGGTAAACAATGTGCTTCTGCCCTTAATAGGACCGGCTTCATCCACAGACTTTTTTCTGAAGGGCCCTTTGGGGAGACAGCCAGCGATCGAATACCGATCATTAAATTGCTGGAACAAAATGATTAAAAGTTGGGTCACTTACGAGGGACGCAAATGAGTCACTCCTTCTTTAGGTAAAACTCAATCAAATGATTCCACCAGGAAGAAGAGATCATGACTGAATAAATGAACTTCAAAACCTGTGCAAAACTCGTATGATTTTCCAAAATGGTTGGATTTTCCCCTCCATTCATAGGTGGGTTTCTCCCCCTTTGCTGCATGTCAGGCGCCAAGTCGCTGGTCCTCTGGGATCAGGACAGGGGATGATCCGTGCAGGAATTGGCACTGCGGAGGGGGGCATCCCCTAAAGGCTCACCCCTGAGTTGGTACAACACATTGTGGGGTTGCTTTTGGTACAGAGCTGGAAGAGAGCAGCGGTCCAGCTAATCTTCGGATGCTGGGTGAGAAAATGTTTGCAGTCGGTGCCGATTTCTTTTAAGTAGATTTGAGGGTCTCAGGGAAGGCAGATGGTGCCATGCGGTGACAAAAAACGCGGGGGTAGGGATTTAAAACAAAGGCTGGAAAAGAGGACCAAGCTGCCGCTCGCTTTGCTGTGAAAATGGACTTTCGTGGTCATGTGGCTTGATTACTTTCTTGGGGAGACTGGTAGCCAGGCGAACTGACTGCAGAGGGAGAAGGGGGAGTGTTGACGGGCAGATACAACAGCTTTCCCCCCCCTAAAGTGGTTTCCATCACAGCACTTGGAGGGAGCAGCCAACCTTGTCAGGCTGGGGAGCTAAGCTGGATCAGCAGCAGAAATCCCAGGGCTGGAGTCTACCTTAAGGGAAGTGAAACAGCTTCCTTGGTACTTGGATGGGAGACCACTAGGAAATCCCAGGGCCAGAGGCTAGTAGTAAAAGCCATCCTCGAAGGCAGGGTCTGCCTTGACCTTCTTTCATCCCCCACCCCGAGAAATTAGAGAAGGATTCTGTGCACAACTCAAAACAGGGATTCAAAACTTTGGACTTAAGATGAAGTGCAGCTGTTTGTTGCGGCTAAGTGTGATGTGTGCTGCAAGTTGGGAAGGCTTATGCAGCAAAACAGGGTTTAAAAAGGCTGCTGTAGTGACCTGAGAACTGGAGATGCAGCACCCACCCCACCCCGCCCCACCCCCTTGCAAGAGGGCAATTCGTTCTCAGGCCCCACAGACGCCAAGGGATGTCATAGGCAAGGTCGTTTGCAGATGGGCTTACTTTCAAAGATCTCAGGGTTCCAGACCCATGCTGAGCTTTTTAGGCCTAAAAGGTCCCCAAGGTCCCCCAAAGAAATCTGTTCGGGAAAACGCATCCTGGTCCTCGCTTTCCTTCTGCTAATATTTACAGACCAACTCCAGTCCGAGATGCACAACACACCCCACCCCACGTGTTTCTGTGACACAACCGACAGAAAGTCAAGAAAGTGCCCTCAGAGAATCATATTGTTGTAAGAGCTGTGGGAGCTGCTTCGGTTAGATGGGGGGGGGCATTCTGCAGCGGGGGGGCACTGTACCCTCTTCTCCTTCGCTTGGGAACCGAAAGGGACACAGCCATGAACAGGCCACAGGTGTCCACCTGCATCGGTCCCAGGATGTTCCACATCCCCAGAGCATATGAGCCATTTCTCAGGCTTCGGCTGCCACCCTAGACGTCCCCTCAAGTGCCAGGCGAACGCCACCCATCTTGTGCCACGGATGCACGTCAATGCGCCACGTCACTTTCAGGCACCCAGCTGGAGACCAACGTCCCGCTCCAGAGGCGGAGTTCATTGCACGTTTTCCTTCTCCAACATCTCTCTGGCTGGTGGGTCATCTGGACCTTTGAACCAGAACCACCCTGGTCCCCTCCCCTGCTAGGTAAGGAAATCCAGCAGGCCCAGCTGGGAGGATAACTCCGTGGC